TACACTATCTCCATAAGAATATCACACTAATCACAGATACGGAAAAACTGAATATTGGTAAAAATTAAAAAAATAACTAATAGAGTCATTGCTTTATTTAAATACACTTAAACTTGAAGACGTTTGTTTAATACTTACTATAACAAGTTTTTCAAAGATAACCTATGAACACTCATATTCATACATTTTATTTTTACATATAAGAGTATAAGAGACAATAACCTTCCCTTTTTACCTGCTTACTGGTACCTCTGGGGGTCCATAGGGATGTCTCCCTACTCATGAACCCAATATCCAATTTAAACAATTAACCAGCTATCCCCATACCCTGTTCGGTAATGAGTGCTAAATATTTCATTGTCTCGATACTCCATTCGGTATGAAGGTGAACCATACCTCGCAAATCTTTCCAGTAAGGGACATCCCAGCCCCGTTCAACTAAGATAACGTTCACTGTAGGATTCCCTATGTACCGGATTCGTCTATTTTTTCTCTAGGTACCTAGTAAGTCTTTCACATAGAGATCTCTATCAATAAAACAAACAACTACATAATACAAATATCTCATTGTATATTCATAGATCAATAAAACGACATTTAAGCAATGATATAACTTATCATAACAAGGGATCAAGTAACCAGATAACCGAATAAACCAAATAAATCGATAAGACAACTGAAACTATAAATTAAGAACGTGCATAATACGATAACAAGCAAGTAGGATAGTGCATAAAAATAAACAGGAAATCAAGACAGTTGTGAACTAACTGGTTCTGACTTCACTAGTAATCTGTAATTATTTTTTGAGTTTTCTACATTTTTAGAAAAATATGAAATTATACATCGTTAAGTTTCAATTTACTATAATGGAGAATAGAGTGAAGGATCCTTACCTAAACGGTATTCTAAAACGTCGAGCTGTCTATTACGCCTCTTATCAGATATCGAATTTCCTTAATTTTTTCTATGAAATCTAAAACACTTGTCACATACCTAAAAATACTCTAAAAATCCAAAATCAGTGTCCAAAACTCATTCCGACCAATTTTGGAGTTTCAACACGGCATCCTCGCCGTGCTCCAGCGCTGGCTCTGCCGCCCACGGCAGCGGCTCGCCTCGGCCAGGCTGGTTTTGGCTAATTATGGCTGTATTCCTATAGAAAAACACGTTAGCACCTCGATTGGCTAAAAAATCACAAAAAAAACTAAACCTGCCGAGGGGAGGACATCTGGGTGCAGTAGCTCCGTCGGTCCTCCTTTGTGGCGAGGTTCTTTCTTTAACTAACCTGCATAGAAAAGAATGGTGAACACAATAATTAAAAAATCACGTGAAACGATAATCGGGAAGGGGCTCATCAGAGGGATTTTGAGGTTTTGGCCACCGCGGCTCCGTCGGGCTTTGCCTGCAGTTTTCGGGTCACTCATCGTCCCTTTTGCTCCTATTTGTCCACATGAGTGTTCGGAATCGAATTCCGAGTGGGTAGGGGGAATTTTTACTTTTTTGGCAGTCGGTGATAGCTTTGGTGCAGCGATGATCGGTGGTCGACCTCTTTCTCTGACGTCGGTTCTTCTTCTCCGACGGGGGCTGGTGACTAAAGTTCGAGGTCTAGTGTGATGTGAAGTATTTATACCCATCTCGCTTGATTTGGATCGTCCATCGCGATCGATCTCGTCCGTCCGATCGCGTTTAAGGAAAAAATAAATCTGGATCGTCTATCACGATTTGATATTGGTCGTCTGATCGCGCTTGAGGAAAAAATGAATCTAGGCCATCCATTACAATTTAATCTTGGCCGTCCGATCGCACTTAAGAAGGAAATAAATCAAGGCCGTCCATGCGCATGAAATCAATCCTGGACCGTCCGATCGCGGGATACGCGAATCACCCGCGTGGCCTCTCGCATGGCACCGTTGTCAGCGTGCCTTGCCATGCGGCGTGCTCTGGTTCGTCGGAGCTGTTAACTATGCAGTCCTACGTGGCACAAATTTTTCTATTTGTATTTTGACTCCCCTGTTTCTATTTTTTCTTTTAAAAACACCACTCGAACCTAAATTTTTACCTATTTTTTTAAAAATTATTTTCGATTACATCGTTAACCTATTTTTTCAATAAGTTCAACAAAATTAAATTAAATTAATTTATAAACAATTTTTTATTCATTTTTAAATCACTAAAATTGATCTCGGGCCAAATTTTAGACTCGGGTATTACAACAAACATTGATCTTTCTGCATCTCCTAGAAAAAAGTAACAAAATTAGCTATGATCAATATAATCTTGAGGAATGCAAGCTGCTTTTATCTCAAGAGGTGATTATGCACTTGAACAAAGTAATCACTTTGATGAATTTTCTTGGAGCACAACTAAGATGGAATTTGATCAAAGTCTCCTTCTTTGGCACATTGCTACTTATCTTTGCCATAAAAATGATATTCCAAAAGATACATATAGTAATAATATTGACCCAAATTGTTAAATTAGCAAACATTTATCGAATTACATGATGTACCTTCTTGTTGAGTGTCCATTTATGCTTCCCAAAGGGATTGGTGAGATAAGATATAGAGACACATGTAAAGAGTTGAAAAATTTTCTTCAACTAAAATTTGAGCAAATAGATTTTTGCACTCGTGTAAGAGAGGCTTCAAATGTAGCGTTACAAATAAAAATTAACAAGTCAGAATATGAAAGAGGATACCAGAATAAGTCAGTATTTTTTTATGGATGTAAGCTTGCTAGATAACTGCAATCACTAGATGCAGAACAAGGTTGGAACAAGCAACAAAAATGGAAGATGATTAACAGAGTTTGGGTGGAAATGTTAGCGTATGCAGTGAGTCACTGCGAGTGGAAAGAGCACCCACAACAACTCACTAATGGTGGGGAGTTGATCACACATGTATGTGTGCTCATGGCTCATCTTGGTTTGAGTGAACAATATCAATTACATAAGCAATATATTAAACGCATGGAAGTACCTTCTTGGGCAAGGTATGATGTTGTTCCTCCTGTGTTTTGTTATCTTGCTTGTGAGGGAATTTTTTTCTTGGTAAAGGAAATGTGTATTGGTGTAGTTGCATTAGTACGTGGAACTACTCATACTCATCCTTCACAAGTTGAAGATTAAGATTTAATATTTTCTTGTTTCTCACTTGTAATTTCATGTGTCTTGCAGTCAGTACTTTAAATTTGATAATTTTGTAATAAATATTTATTTGTATTATATATCTATAAATTTTAATAATATTAATAGAATAGTTATTCACTAAAAGTATTTTTAATTAAAATCTATTTGGTATTTTAAAAAAATAATTATAAAATGTACATACACTTAAAAAAGAAAAACAGAAATCATACCTTCGGTACAAATAAATAGTTAAAATTTCAAGTATAAATTTCTATTAAAAATTACAAATTGTAGTTTTTATATTTAAACGTATTAAAAACTGATCTTGCCTTTAGTTTTAACCAAAAATTATTTTTTTATTTTATTTATTTAGTTGTAAAATCAAAACATTAAGATTGAATCATATTTTTGGTAAAAGTGACTTTTTGAAATTTTAAGTACAAATTTTTATTAAAAATCAAAGTTATTTTCTGAAAATTACCAGATGTAATTTCTATATTTAAACATATTTAAAATTGATATTAACTTTCGTTCTCACTAAAAACAATTTTTCATTTTACTTATTTGATCGGAAAAATAATTTCAAAACATTAAAAGTAAAGTTTAAAAAAAAAAATTACCCCAAATAGGATCTCAAACCATTCGCATACATATTATATACAAGGAGGATTGAGCTTTAAATTTTTAAATAAATGTGATATATTTTTTAAAATTTTAAACGTATAATTAATCAATAAGAAACAAAAATGATGAAGAAATAAAATTAATTACTAATGTTAATTAATAAATAAAGTTATAATCAATTAGTTACATAGTGATAATTCTTTGTAAGTAATTAATTCAAGTCTATTTTATTTAATTAATTAGAAGATATTTTTTTATAATTAAAAAACTAATTAGTGAGGTGTTATATAATACGAAACTTTTTCGTATCGAATAATTAAAAATCAGTAATTAAAACAGAAAAAGAAAATTGAAACATCAATTTTTGTTACATTTAATTAACCATAGTGATTTACGATTACTACAAAAAAAAAAAAAAAAAGGACAGGCGCAGGGTGTCGAACCCGAGGTCAATGAGTGTTCACGTGAGGCTACAGCTTTATACATGGTCAATGTTGTGCTGCTAGATGAGAAATAGATGTGGGAGTTTTTTTATAATGTTGTTTTCAGTATCCTAATATGCACTATATTAATTATTGTATTATATTATTATTATAATGTAAATCGGATTATATTATATCATATTAATTATTATAATAATGCAATAATACATATCTGGAATTGCAACGGCAAAAAGTAGATGCAGACAAAGATTATTGAATCTTAAAAGAAGAGCTTGCCTGTCTCTTGACAATTCAAAATTCAACCCATCACCATCTCCAATTTTTTCATGACATAAAGATCTCAACCACCATTAACATCCAAACACAATAAGTCAACACCCACAACAAATAACAGACAAGAACTTCCCCATCTTAAACCTTTAAACAAAAACATTGCAACTTCCAAACACAGCACACCATTACATACAATATTATTCTCTCTGCCGTCCCCATTCAGTATTTCACAATACAATATTATCCTCTTTTCTGTATATCAATGATCATCGAAAATGCTGTTTTATGTCAAACCAAAAATGACTTTTGAAGAACAGAATCATGCCTCTAATTACGCCTTAGATTGGCTCGAAGATTCGGTCTCGTTCTTGCCCTCTTTCTTTGATGATACATATACCTCAGATGATATCAATAACTACCAGTTATGGGGTCAAAGTGATCAGGAATTAGATCATAATCTCATTTCACAACTGTGTTGCTTCCCTCGACACCAACACCACCTCCAGTTCTACCAATATCGCCAGCTTAATACCCCACTAATCCTCCTTTTTCTGATCATCCACCACTATCCAATTCATGGAAGAAACGAAAGAATCAGAGTCGAGAAGATGAAGATGTCTCCATTCAGGCAGTTAAAAATTCTGTTGGGAATAAGAAAATCATAAAGAAATCTACAGTAAGTAGCTCCAATAACAGTAATGGTAAAGAGGGAAGATGGGCAGAACAATTGCTTAATCCTTGTGCAGCAGCCATTTCGGCTGGAAACTTCGTAAGAGTTCAACATTTATTGTATGTTCTCCATGAGCTACAATCACTCAAGGGTGATGCTAACCACCGGTTAGCAGCTCATGGCCTCAAAGCGCTGGCTCAGCATCTCTCATCATCTCCTGTATCAATAGGACCTGGAACTTTTGCCTGCACCGAGCCACGGTTCTTTCAACGATCTTTAATTAGATTCTATGAGGTTAGCCCTTGGTTTTCTTTTCCCAACACCATTGCAAACTCTTCTATCCTGCAAATTCTTGCTCAAGAACCTGATAGAACATCTAGTCTTCACATTCTTGATATTGGAGTCTCTCATGGTGTGCAATGGCCAACACTGCTTGAAGCCTTGTCTCGAAGACCAGGAGGTCCTCCTTCTCTTGTTCGTATCACTGTTATTACTCCCACCAACGAAAGTGATCAAAGCATAGCCCCGTTCTCTGTTGGTCCACCAGGTGACAATTTTGTCTCAAGATTACTTCGGTTTGCCAAGTCTATGAACATAGATCTACAAATCAATGTAATTGATAACCACCAGTTGCAGAATCTGAACGCACAAATTATTAACACATGTTGTGATGAAAATTTGATCATTTGTGCTCAGTTTAGACTGCATCAACTAAATCACAGTTCTCCTGATGAAAGAGCAAAGTTCTTAAAGGTGTTGAGAAGTTGGGAGCCAAAAGGGGTGATACTTACAGAGAACAACATGGAATGTAGTTGCACAAACTGTGGGGATTTTGCAACAGGTTTCTCGAGGAAAGTGGATTACTTATGGAAGTTCTTGGACTCGACAAGCTCAGCATTCAAGGGGCGAGAGAGCGAAGAGAGGAGGGTGATGGAGGGAGAAGCGGCAAAGGCATTGATAAACAAAGGAGAGATGAATGAAAGTAAGGAGAAATGGTGCGAGAGGATGAAAGAAGCAAGGTTTTTGGCAGAAGTATTCGGAGAGGATACCATTGATGGAGGTCGAGCTTTGTTGAGAAAGTACGACAACAACTGGGAGATGAGAGTGGATGACAGAAATGAATGTGTAGGACTATGGTGGAAAGGGCAGCCTGTATCTTTCTGCTCCTTATGGAGGCTGGACAAGAAGGCCGATGAGAATTGACAATTCCTACTTGGTTGCTTTCATAAAATTACATTTTATACGATAAATTCTGATTGTAAAGTAATATGTTTGAAAAGGCTGTCTTTAATAGTATTATGTTTTTTGCGAGGAATCTATTTAATACATACTGTTCCAGGTATTTGCAAAATTCATATAGAATCCCTTTTCCGTCACTTTAATATAACTTGCACTCATCCTAATTAAGCTACAGACTTAAAATAAATTATACAACTTTTCTGAAATCGTTTCAGACATATCCTAGATTCACCCATGACTTTGATGCCAACAAACTTCAATCATGTAATGAGAACCGTAGCCCAAGTTTTCAGAAATCTATTCAATTGTTAACAAAAATTACAGTAATGGTTTCTCATCGAGATAGGAAATTATTTACAAGACTAAATACTTACAAGAAAGATTCCAACAGTTCCATCTATCCGTATATCTTTAACATGAAATGACCCGCAACATCTCCTCCAACCACCAGCATACAGTTTTAACAGGGGAGGACAGAATGTGTTTTTCAGTTTTAACTCAAGGTTGCTCCATGTCAATGAATACTAGAGCAACTTTCAGGTCCTGAAATCCTGGTGTGGAAATTTCAAAATACCAGAAGTCATTCTCTCCATCAAGCATAGAATACTCGCATTGAGCCTCTGATTTCCTGTCGACAAACAGGACATTTTGGTGTTAATTCCCGTTCAACCGACAAAGCGCAAGGTTGGCAACATGCTATGTGCCCACATGGAATAAAAGCAGGCACCCTTCTCCTCATCAAGCAGATTACACACAGCTGCCCATCCGGAATATCACCTATCTCCTCCTCACCCGTCAATTCAGAGTTTGCATCAATGCTGGCAGCATGGCTAGGTTGATGGGCCTGTCTTTGTTGCCTCCGCTCTTTCCATCTGTTCCAGTTCCTGAAGGCAATTTATGGATTAATTAGTCCTGCCCTGCAGCTAAAGAAGGTATAATTGGGTACTTCAGAGCATTGGTAACAGATCTACTAGGAGTAATTTGTTTGCCTTCACACTTTTCTTCCATTATTCAGAAAGGATGTGAAAAGAGAGTATTTGATTGGAGAGAGATCACAGATAAGTACATCTATAATAATAATCAACATCTTGGGAGATAAAGGGGATAAAGATCATCCCCAGTACTAAAACTTAAGTACCTCAGAGCAGCATAGCCAAGAATACTGATTGACAGAGAACCAAGAATGATACCACTCCAAAACAGTATCTTTGTCCTAAAAGCAAGGTCTAATAGCATCTGATCCTTCGTTAAGTCTGACCTGCAGCGCCGAAACATCACCTTATTGTGAAACAACATATAAGAGAAGCGACTTAAAATTCCCACTAAATTGGCTATATAGTGGCATGCATCAGCTGAAAAGATGCTAACCATCCTTTCACCACCATTAAAGGGAATGGTGCTTTCTATCATACCAAAAGCTTCAGAGAAAGTGTATCCAAATATTTATGGAAAGAAAACAGTGCACCAAGGAGACATGTCAGATACTAAAGTCAGCAGAGAAGTCCAGAAAAGAGATCCAAAACTTAACATAATGTTTGTCAAATAAAGAGCACAGATAATTGAAAAGCGAATAAGAAACTCTAACAGAATGTGTTCAAGATAAAGTTCCCTTACAGAAAATATGGAAGATCCTTGCATGACATGATCTCAGGAATTCCATTCTTAAAACTGCAAATGCCAACAGCACTTATATCCTTTCCCAAAGGAAGAATTTTCTCTTCATTAAGGAGACCAACCTTGAAAGCAGATAAAATAAGGAGCCATTAAAAAAAATAAAAAATAATTTAAGAATGGTAAATCTACCTAAATGGAAGCTAAATGCAGGGAGGAAATTAGAGAGCATTGAAACTTGAAAAGTATGTTGTAGAAACTCACAGGATATTCATGACCAAAGAGTGCCTGAAGGAATGTATAAGGGGATGCATTAACAGGCTGCAATTGGTGATAAACAGTTGTAAGAGGAAGGGGATGTAAAGAGCCCTCCGTGTTGACAATAACATAATCAGATTGTGGCCATCGACCATCCTCAACAAGAACAAAAGGTACCTGGAAAATTAAAACATAAAATAATAATTATTCCTTGCATAACCTCCATAAAGTTGAAATAAAAAGAAGGAATTAGTCAAAGATATATAAAACTAATAACTCCTGCTAATGTTTCTATTAATATCATATTGCCAACAAACTCTGGAAGCCAAGCTGTAATTTAATGTGTAGTCCATTTGCTCCAAATTTCCAGAACCAGTTCTTAGAGACATAACAACTGTTTAAAGGAACTGAAAAACACTAAAAAATGTCACTACTGCAGAGGCTGCTGTCCAAAATATTACAGGACATGAAAATTCTTGATAGGCTATCCAATGAAACATCCTAAACAGTCAAAACGAGAAAAATTTAACATTGAGGAGCTAAGATTATTGGACAAAGATTCTGATATATGTTGCATACTAGAAACACAAACCATAACGAGAGAAGTGGCCAATAATGCATCAATAGTTATAAACCTTTAAAAATGTCTCCCTGTTGTGGATATGACATGATTCAGAGATGACAATTTAACATTGAGGTATGTCTCATGTCACATTCCAAGGACCAGCAAAACTTTATACTTATGAGGGAAAATCTCCAGGCGTAGCATCCCACAAGACAAAGAAAAGTCCAACAGCATATACACCAAATCAGGGAAGATAAGTGATGAATTTACCATTCTTGATGAAGCAGACTCTTGTTTACCCCAAGATCTTCCAAATATAGCGCGCAGATCCGAAGTCCACCCAAAGAAGCCCTTCCACTCATTATATATGTACTAAAGAAGCACACGTCATAGAACCCATATTAAAGCACTTCACAAATCATTAAAAGAACAAATTTCACTAACCTAGAAATGTATGTTGAGCAGCTCCTATTGAAATGTGAAGTTTCAAGTTTATTTCTTTCATCTATCTTTTATATTTTCAACAAATCCAGAGTGACAAAACAAAAAAGCATGAAAAATGCATTTTAATATCATTAGCACAAGGTTCCAAAATAACTACCAGCCATAGCGCAGGCAAAGATTAGAAGATTTACAGCAATTGTACTTGCCCGTATGTACAAGATAAAAAGGTTATTTGAATTTCCATAATGGAAATGGATAGTTGGTATAGCCTCCATCTTTATACCAACAGCAGGATGAGCAAAATCATCAATGCCAATCCCACCAGCCAAGGCTGAAGGTACAGACAGAATTATATAAGTTTAATTTCAAAGCTTTTCAGGCATACGAAACTAATTCCTACTTTACATAACGTCATTCATACTCCCGTCAAGAAAGCAATGTTTTCTCTAGGTTTTTTTTATAAAAAAATAAATAAAAGGATCCACTCATACAAGTTTATGTTTCTACAGAGACATACAGTCTGTGTTCTCTGGATAACAACAGCTTTATCTCCAGACTCCTGAGAGACCAACACGTTGTTGTGCCTTAAGCCTTTCCAACTCCCATCAACAGCTGATTTCGCTTCTACGGTGCCGCGGACAATCACCAGAGTTGAAGAGGGATCGCTATCGGATGGCTGTGACTGATCTTCTGATGAGACCGGGAGGAGGGAACGGAGATCAGACACGCGAAGCTGCGGAGCGCTTCGGATCTTGCGAAGGGCGGCGGAATTGGCGGTGAACTTGAAGAAGGAGCGAACAGCAGCGTAGGCGAGTGCCACACCCAAGACAGCGCCGTCGAGGGAGAGAGCAAGGTGAGAGACAAGGGACGCTAAGGCTTGCTCGGGGGAAGACATGTTAGGGACTTCACTAGCATTTGGTTAGGTCACGTGAGTGGCGCAGGTGAAAGCATACAGAAGGAGATGGGAGAATTCAGTTAGTATTTTTTTGGGGACAATCAATTAAATTAGCAAAGCGAAACGATGAAGGCGAGGAGGAAGAAGATAGTACTCGGGTCGGGGTCGGAGTCGGAGTCGGGCGGCTACACTCGGTTTATCGGGCCTTCTTAAAGAAGGTTGTAGAGACCAATCCGATAAAACTGGCTTTTGGTGCGAGCGGGAGGCGGTTTACTTCTTGAGAACTTCCGACCCAATTAGGTATGGATTTTAGTATCTTGAAAATATATAATTTATTATTCATGATAATTTTTTTATTTAAAAAAAAAAATTGTAAAATTATTGAATTAACTCGTAAAAAGAGAATATACTTAGTGGTAAAATTCTATGCGTATGAACATAGTAAATAAAATATATGCATTTTTTTTTTTATTAAAAAAGGAAATTAGATTAATTTTTTTTATTATTGTAAATGAGAATGAAGGCCAATTTATGTTAATAAAAAAGTTTAGATCAAGGATGATGGCAGACATGGACACAGAGATTATAAAACCATTGAGCTGGTTGGGTTACCTCAACGTTTGCAGCATGACCCACGTCCTTTGATTATCTCTAGCCTTGAATTCTAATTGTTTACCTTTGCAATTGATGGGCAAAATCCAATGGAAGTATCGCGTCTTTGTCAACCCATATCAACAATGTCTTCTGTACGTTCATATAGATATATACCCCACGTGAAATGTCCAAAAATTTTGGATCTGTGTAATTCTACCTGTTCCTTTCTGTGTTTAACTGTACATCACCTAAAAAAAAAAGCCTTTCACAATTTCTTACTAAATTATATAATATTCTACTACAGTGCTGATCAAAAGATATATATACAAAAACATCTTCAAACATATATACATATATTATGAACGTAGAACTAATAATTTTGTGAGAGTAACTTAATATTGATTCATTTTGTAATCTTAATTTAATAAAATTAAAAATTTAATTGACTAAATTACAATAATAAAATTAGTTTCAGTTTTTCTGAATTTATTATATTCTTTTACGAAAAGGGTATATTATGTCAATTAAATTTTTTTTAATTGGACTAGTTTTACTTAATTTTTTTAAATATATATATAAAGAAAAAAAAAATATTATTATATCAATTAAATAATGTGTTATAATTTATTTGTGTGTGTGTGTGTATATATATATATATATTTATGTAATGTAAGATTTCCTAGTTTATTTATTCATTTACGTCTGTTCTTTCTTAACCTTAAACTATTTAATTTACAGATAGCAAATGGATATATGGCGAGACCTGACCCGTTTTTCTATGATATTCTTCAAGTGATATATAATAATGTGTGTGTCTTTGTGAGGTAAGAACAAAATGCAGAGCATCAAGAAACTTACGGTGATGAACTGGAGAAGTAAAAAATCAGGCGCCCAGTGAAGAGGATCGACCTTGTTCATTGATAGATTGACTAGAAGACCAAGAGCATTTGCAGTTTTTATTAAGAATAATTAATATATTTAATTGTAACCGTTTTTATTTCTGTTTTTTCTTTTGCCCATTGCCCACGTTACGTTTCTTCTTGCTGCTTTTGTTTTCTTCTGTTACGGTATTCTGCATTCTGTTTCATTTGCTGTTTTTTGTTTTCTTCTGTTATGGTACCACTGCAATAGCTATATATTGTTTCCCAGTAAGCAGCAAACATTTAATGGAATAAGGAAAATATTTTCTTATCATTTACATTCTATTAGGTTCATGTGCTTCCTTCTTTTTGTCAAATTTCCTATCTTGATATCAAAGCATTAAACCTTCAACCAACATCATTTTTGCTCAGTAGTTGAGCTACAAAACACTTGATCTCCAATGGCTAGAGATCAGTCTGATGACCTCCAAAATCCTTTCTTCTTTCACAGCGCTGACCACCCGGTTTAGTTTTGGTGTCCAATCTTCTCAATTGGAACAACTACAACACATGGGAGAGAGCAATCAGGATAGCACTAACAGCTAAAAATAAGTTGGGATTCATAGACGAAACCCATGATCAACCGAGCAGCACCGACCCCCATGCCGTAGCTTGGTCACGTTGTAACAGTATGGTGGTTTCTTGGTTGCTGAATGCTGTCACCAAGGAGATAGCTGACAGCTTGTTATATCATGAAAGTGCACAATCCATCTGGATCGATTTACAGCTCCGTTATCAGAAGAGCAATGCACCACGTATTTATCAATTGAAATAGAGCATGAATAATCTTACACAAGGATCACTCAGCATCAACACATACTACACACGAATGAAAACAATCTGGGATGAACTCAAAATCTTTCAACCAGCTCCAAGCTGTTACTGCGAAAACATGAAGGCGTGGAACGATTATCAGGAACAAGAGTTTATAATGACTTTCTTAATGGGATTAAATCCCTCCTATGCTGCTGTTAGAGTCTAAATTTTGATGATGGAATGCTCCCCATCCATTTTGAAAGTCTTCTCACTGGTGGTGCAGGAGGAACAACACCGTGCAATCGGGTTCGACTCACACGCAGAAACAGGTCACGGTTCCGGACCCTCAGTTGCCCTAACTCAAGGAAGAAGGAGACCCACCTGTTCACACTATGGGCTTGTGGGCCACACTGTGGACAGATGTTACCACCTACATGGATACCCACCGGGCCTTAAGCCCAAGCCCAAAACACGTTTTAATGATGG